CTAGGATTACAGGTATGAGCCACCGCGCCTGGCCATCCCCTAACAATTTTCTATCTTTGTTTTTTCCCAGTCCCTGATCAGCTGGCCAAACCATCAGCCAGTCCCCATTTATAAGTATATATCCATACTCAGTCTATTTTTATTTACACATGAAATAGATAATAAAGTGTACTCCCCAAATCTGCCCTTTACCACTATTATTTCAAGGCCCTGCTGCATGTGGCAGTAGGGCAGCAGTTATCCAATTTCAGCTCATACTGGCATACTCTGCAGATTGATCAATGATTCAGGCCCTGGATTCTTCCATGTTCGCCTCTTTTATTAACTGGTCATAGGAAACTCCTCGTGAGGCTATAAGGATGGCTGGAGGAAAAGAGTGCAAGGTATCATGGGATTCTGGGTCACCTGCTTGTGACAGTTTATTGCACCCAAATATGGGTGCAATCCAGTTCTATTTTTCCATTTCTTCTTCGTTGGCCTCTCGTGGTACATTATACAGTGAGGACGCAACAGAAAACAGAGAGCACATTCAAATTGGGTAATTTAACCTAAAGGATCAAGGAAAGGACTAGGTCCAGGAACCCTGAGAAAGAGTGCTGCGTGGAAAAGACCACCATACAGGGGCTGTTGACCTGGAAAAGAGGGAGATGGGAACGCACAAATATCCAGAGCTCCCTCTCTTTCCCTTCTCCGGTCTGCCAGGGCTCTAAATTGGCCAACCTTAGTAAGACAACTCTGTGATCCATACAGCTCAGCCTCCCAGGACATGGAGAAGGGTGGAGAACAGTAAAGAGTAGATTTGGAGGAGCAAATAAATAGATGTCTCTAACCTAAAGATATTATAAGAGTCAAACTTATTTGAGACCTAGACCCATTTTTCACTTATTTTATGAACATCTTCAATTGAATATTTCTCTCGGGCACATCAAAATCAACATGAGCAAAACGGAACTCGTCTTTGCTTTCCAAACTCATTTCTTTCCATAAGCTTCCAGCTTTAGTTACAGCACTGTCATTCATTTAGGCAGCTAGTCCAGAAACCTGGGAATGGTCCTTGATCCCTCCCTGTCCCTTATATCCTGCGTCTTTTTGGTCAACATTCTGTACATATCTTTCAGCCTCATTTTTTCTCCTCTATTTCCCTCCCAGGTTGTCAGCTCAAGCCCTCATCATTTCTCATTTGGATATGTCAACAACCTCGTAATTCGTCTTCCTTCCCGCCACACCCTTTTAAACCACAATCTACCATGCCACCAGAGTGATTTTCCTCAACTTCAAACATGAATCCAGCTACATCATCCCTTTGTTTACAAACCATCAGCACATTTAGTCCTGAGGATGAAATCCAAGCTTCTTAGGATGGTACTCAACACCCTGGGCGATCTGGTTCCTGGGTCTTTCTTAAGCCTCACTTGCCACCCACCTATGTGTACTCTGTCCTCCAGCCATACAAAATACTCAATGTTTTCTGAATGTGTCTTTTTATTTCACACCTTTGTGCTTTTCCATATATTTCCCCCTTTTCCTGTTATGTTCTTTCCCTTCTGCCTACCCGGTGAGTGATAACTTCGTTTATAAGAGTCAGCTCAAGTGGCGGGGCACCGTGTCTCACGCCTGTAATCCTAGCACTTTGGGAGGTTGAGGTGGGAGGGTTGCTTGAGTTCAAGACCAGCCTGAGCAAGAGCAAGACCCTGTATCTACATTAAAAAAAAAAATAGAAAAATTAGCTAGGCATGGTGGTGCACACCTGTAGTCCTAGTTACTCGGGAGGCTGAGGCAGGAGGATTGCTTAAGCCCATGAGTTTGAGGTTGCAGTGAGCTATGATGATGACACTGCACCCCAGCTTGGGTGACAGAGTGAGACCCTATCTCAAAAAAAAAAAAAAAAAAAAAAGACTTAGCTCAAGTGACTTCTTCTCTCAGAAGCCAGAATTGAAAACCACCAGCTGGGATCCTCTAAAAATGAATGAATGAGTATTTAGAATGTAAATAAAAGAATGCAAAGTATTAGATTAATGTACAAATGTAAGACATGCAGCTACTCCTAGAGCTAGGTATGGGGTTTAATTGAATCTAATATGCTATAGATTGTAAAAACAGTGAAGAAGAAAACTCTGCTACCATTGATTATAAGATGCATTCCAAGTTCAGAAATATTAAAATGTGGAAAAAAGTACACCTTAGAATCAGTGAAATAAGGTACCAGCTAATACACCCTTTTATCATATACATAAGGAAACAGGTCTAGAGATGTGACTTGCTCAAGATCACATAGTTTCTTAGTGACAATGCCACATTTAGACATCTCTTGACTTTCAGCCCAAAGCCAGTTTCATTTTGTCATATAGATTTATTATTGATGATTAGTGTGAATAACAACAACTCCCCAACTTTGCAAAATAAACCTACATTAGGTGCCCTTATTCCCTTTTAAATGTCAGGAATACTAGAAAAAATATAGGCTGATTCTTCAGGTTCTTCATCCCCTCTTCCTCCAACAACACAAAAACTAAGTGAAAATACAAGCATGCACACAGACAACCCCGCCCCATGTCAGGCAGGGCCCTACAGAGGGCACAGTCCATGTAGGGAAACTAATGCATCTAGTTTGCACCACTTGAGAGATTCTTCAGCTGTAAGAAGTCCTTTTTGAGGGGGCTGCATCTCTAGCCTCGAGTTCTAGATCTTTTCCTGGGTCATGTTATCCACCCAAGCTGTGATTTAGGCTAAAGCCCTGTCATACCCCTTATTTGGGGAAGGCTTTAGTCTGTCTTGTGTTGTCCATAGCCATATCCAGGCACTTCCTGATTTTTACAGAAGTCTCATACATTTCCCTCCACACTGAGCCAGGCTCTCTGCTCTTCACTGAATTGCCCAGAAAAGATTTCCCTCTCTTTGAGTCCATTTCATCAGAGGAAACTCAATTATCATTACAAGCTTCCATGCACAGAAAAGCAAGACCAAAGAGAGGGGCCAACAGTCATCAGTGTTATTGACAAAGAGCCCAGATGATGGGTTTGATTTTTTTGTTGTTGTTTTTTTTGCCTGGTCCTTCTTCTGAGGGAGATGATGTTTTCCACAGTTTTAATGTGCTGCCATGAAAGCAGTTTTCTTCTTTATTACTTAGAAACTCATTCAGATCTCTACCAAGTAATATCATGTTAGGATTTCTAAAGGACAGAATATTCTAGGTACTTGAAAAATTTTAGATGTTAGAGACTCTCTAAAACCGGCATTGCCCCAACTTTTCTGATAATAAGAATCACCTAGAGATTCCTCCAATAATACAAATTCCCGAATCCCACTGCAGTCCCACTAAATCAGAATCCCAGGGAGTGTAGTTTAGGACAAGCCCCCCCCAAGTGATTCTTATCAACAAGGAAGTTTAGGAAACACTGTGTCCATCCTCATCATTCTAAGGATGAGGACACTGAAGCCCAGTGCTATGGTTTGAATGTTTTTGTCTCCTCCAAAACTCGTGTGTTGGAAAGTTAATCCCCAATATGACAGCGTAGGGAGGTGGTGCATCATGGGACGTGTTTAGGTCATGAGGGCTCCACCCTCAAGAATGGATTAATGCTGATATAAAAAGAGCTTGCCAGTGTGGGTTGTTTTCTTCTGCTCTTCTACCATGTGAGGATGCAGGGTTCCTCTGCTCTCCACCTTACACCATGTGATGATGCGGCACAAAAGCTCTCACCATGTGCTGGCACCTTGATCTTGGACTTCCCATCCTCCAGAACTGTGAGCCAATAAATTTCTGCTCCTTTACAAATTATCCAATCTGTTATAGAAGTACAAAATGGAATAGACACCCAGAGAAGTCGAATAACTTATCAAAGATGCCTGTGTCTTTGCTTGCGTGGGCACAGGCTGCTTCTGCTTCTGGAAGGATTATGCCTTCCTTCAGCAAAGGAGCCAGGAGGACTGTGAATCTAAGGACGATTAATAAAAGAGACTTTATTTTTTCATTAGATGACCTTTTGCAGTAGTTGGAAAAAAAGTCCCCCCCCCATATAAATGAATTAATTTTTCAATTAAAAATCTAGTTCTGAGTATGTCTGATTTGCATATGTCTTGGAAACACAGTCATTTGTACCCCGGCTTCCCCCACTCCCACCTACATTGAATCTGCTTTCTAGCTGTCGGACAGCCCCCTCATTTCCCTCTCCTCTGCCTACTCCAGGACCTTCCACCTGTGCACAGCTAGCCCCACCTTACTCTGGCAGCCCTAGCTGGGCTGGAGGCCAGGAGCACTTGATCAACCCCTTCTTCTGCCTGGTGGGGTTGGGGAGATGTGGAGTGATCATCCTCTCCATGAGAAAGAGTGGAAGCCCCAGAGCTGACTGCTGGGCTTGGCTGGGACTTGGCCAAGACCTTTCTCTCATAGGACTTGCCACCAACGTCCCTAAGCAGCACCCAGCCTGGTGTACATTCAGAGATGACATGGACTGGGAACTCTATGCTGAGGTGGCCACATTCCCACCTCTCTAGTTTTAAGTAGCAACATCTCAAAAATGCATAGGTAAGATTCTGTGCTCTGCGAGGTTAGAAGAAAACATTTAAATGTTTAAATTCAAGAAGATGGAGCAAGTGGAACTGTCATAACTATGGCGGAGTGCCAATTATTTCAACCATTTTGTAAAATTGGCAGAATCTATTAAAGCTCAACAGTGCATACTTACAATCCAGCACTTCTATTCCCAGGTATACCTCAGAAATGTGTATATATGTTTATAAAAATATTCATGGGAGCAACTATTCGTATCAGTCTAAAATTGGAAACTACTCAAGTGTTCATCAGTAGTCAAATGGATAGATAAATTCTATTCTATTCATAAAAGAGAATATCATCAACAATGAGAATGAGTGAACTATTGCTAGATACGACAGCATGGATGATTTTTGCAAATATAATGTTGAACAACAACAACAACAGCTAGACATAAGCATAGATTATATGTTTTTTTTTGTTTTTGTTTTTGTTTTTGTTTTATCTTTCAGTTATTTAATTAGGTTCTTTGTAAAAATTTAGAATACCAATCTGTGAGGATAAATTCCATTTGTCAGGGCAAACAGAGATCGTAGATAGCCCTGGAGCTGAGGAATTGCCTTGATTTTTGGTAAAATTTGGGAGTCCACAGCTTTCTGATCCACTTTGCGCTGTTCTGTAATCTCGTATTTCTCCTTTTCTGTGTCAAAGATCTCACCCTCCTGGTGTCTGGGCTTCTGCAGCTTCTTCTTCTTGAAGTAAGCATCCGTGAGATGCTTAGGAATTTTCACATTGCTGATATCAATTTTTGTGGTGGTGATGATGACAAATTTCTGGTGTGTCCTTCGCAGAGGAACTCGATTAAGGGTCAGAGGTCCAGTCACAAGTAACAAGCCACTGCCAAGTTGCTTCAGGAAAACCGCCCTCTTGCCTCTGTGGCATCCGGTGAGGATGATGAGGATGGTCCCGGGAGTGATGCTAGCTCGAAGTCTTCTCACGTGTTGGCTAAGGTGGAGTTTTAAAGTCAACCAAAATTAATCTCTTTTGTTATAAGTCAGGAGTGGGCAGGAATATTAGGGTCCAACAGAAGAGATGGGTAGCTTATATAATTTAATTTATAAATGTATAAATTGAGTGAGAAATGGGTCATTTATAAAAATTCATTAAGTAGCCACTCATGATTTGTGTATTTTTCTGCATGTGTGATTACTTCAACCTAACCTTACTTAAAAAACAATAGCCCTATAGACCAGTGGTTCCCTGCTTAATCAAACTCAAATGCTCCCTTTTTATAACAAATATTTTATAACATCCTCTGTACTCTCCTAAAATGAAAGTTGTACATAATCATATGTACTATGTACATAATTTAAATTTTTTTATTTTTAAAATAAAAATTTAATGTTATAGCTCAAAGATAGTGATATAGTGCCTTAGCTGAAGTATAAAGAAAAAATGAGAAGGGAAAAACTTTCTAATAAAATATGTGTATTTCAGTACATTAATGTTTAGTCATTGAGTACATAAGGTGCTTGCATCTTGTATAAAAATCTCCATGGCAGGCCGGGCGCGGTGGCTCACGCCTGTAATCCTAGCACTCTGGGAGGCCGAGGCGGGCGGATTGCTCATGGTCAGGAGTTCGAAACCAGCCTGAGCAAGAGTGAGACCCCGTCTCTACTATAAATAGAAAGAAAATTAATTGGCCAACTAATATATATAGAAAAAAAATTAGCTGGGCATAGTGGCGCATGCCTGTAGTCCCAGCTACTTGGGAGGCTGAGGCAGCAGGATTGCTTGAACCCAGGAGTTTGAGGTTGCTGTGAGCCAGGCTGACGCCACGGCACTCACTCTAGCCTGGGCAACAAAGTGAGACTCTGACTCAAAAAAAAAAAAAAAAAAAATCTCCATGGCAGCAACAGTTGCAAGTGCAGACTGAATCAAGTAATATACTAGGTAATTAGGAAGGCACAGGTGACACAGATTTTCTGAAATGGTAAAACAATCTGTGCTGTCGTGCTAAACAGAACACAGTATAACCACTCTTCCATTTAAATGGTAATGATATTCCTTTAAAATCCAGAGCATGTTAAGAACTGGGAAAAAAATACTCTGTGTTTACATGTCAAAGCTGACTTAGACTCTAGGTTCAAATTGTTATAAACATGCTTTACACATACATGAATGTCCATTTTGATATCATGAAATAGTACAGGATGTGGGACAATTCATTTTCGCACAGGACTGTCCTGAGGATTGTAGCATGTTTAACATCTGTGGCCTCTGATCATCAAATGCCAGTGGGGTCACTGTGACAACCAAAAATACCAACACAAATTTCCACGATTCTCCTGGGAGGCAATGTCACTTTGGTCAAGAACCACCAATGTAGAGGATGACTTCCAAGTTGTAAACCATCAATGTTCTCATTTGTAAAGTCCTGGCTGACCCATGGGCATCAAAGTGATTTGATGAGCATAACAATTTGAACCAACTTGCTCAGGTCATGAAGGCTTCTCTACTAGTTGTATTATACATCTGTTCCAAATTAGGCTCCTTGTCTCCTCTTCCTTGTCCGGTCTCATCCCTTCCTCCTGTCTGGTCTCCTCTGGTCTTGTCTCCTTTTCCTCATCTAGTCTCCTCTCCTTTTCTAGTCTCGTCTACTCCTCCTTTTCCAGTCTGGTCTCCTCTTCCTCTTCCAGTCTGGTCATCTCCCTCTTCTGGTCTGGTCCCCTCTTCCAGTCTCGTCTGATCTTTCTTTTCCAGTCTGGTCACCTTTTCCAGTTTGGTCTCCTCTTCTAGTCTGGTCTCCTCCTCTTCCAGTCTGGTCTCCTCTTCCTGTATGGTCACCTCCCTTTTCCAGTCTCGTCTCCTCTTCCTTTTCTAGTCTGGCCTCCTCCTCCACTTCCGGTCTGATCGGCTCCCTCTTCTGGTCCCATCTCATCTTCCTCTTCCTCTCTGGTCTCCTCTTTCTGTCTGGTCTCCTCCTCTTCCGGTCTGGTCAGCTCTTCCTCTTCCAGTCTGTTTTCCACTTCCTCTTCTGGTCTTGTCTCCTCTTCCTTACTGGTCTCCTCTTCCTTCCGGTCTGGTCTCCTCCTCCTCTTCCGGTCTGGTCTCATCTTCTGGTCTGCTCTGCTCCTCTTCTGGTCTGGTCTCCTCTTCCCATCTGGTTGCCTCCCTCTTCTTGTCTTATCTCCTCTTCCTCTTCCAGTCTGGTCTGCTCCTCTTCTGGTCTGTCTCCTCTTCCACTTCTGGTCTGGTCACTTCCCTCTTCCAGTCTTGTCTCATCTTCCTCTTCTGCTCTGGTCTCTTCTTCCAGTCTGATCTTCACTTCCTCTTCTTATCTGGTCTCCACTTCCTCTTTTGGTCTGGTGTCCTCGTATTCCTGTCTGGTCTTCTCTTCTTGTCTGCTCTCCTCTCCTGGTCTGGTTACCTTCCTCTTCTAGTCTCCTCTCCTCTTCTTCTGGTTTGATCCCATCTTCCAGTCTGGTCTCCACTTCCTCTTCCAGTCTGGTCTCCTTCTCTTCTGGTCTGTTTTCCTCCTCTTCCAGTATTGTCTCCTCTTTTTCCAGTCTCATCTTGTCTTCTCCTTCTCTTCTGGTCTGGTCACCTCCCTCTTCTGGTGTGGTCTCATCTTCCTCTTTTGGCGTGGTTTAATCTTCCTCTTCTGGTGCAATCTCCTCTTCTGGGCTGGTCACCTCCCTCTTCCGGTCTGGTCTCCTTCTCTTCTGGTCTTGTCTCCCTCTCTTCTGGTCTGGTCTCCTCCTTTTCTGGTCTGGGGAACCAATATGTAGACCTAGTCCAAGCCTGAAGGCCTCAGAACCAGGAGAGCTGATGGCATAAATTCCAGTCCAAGATCATTCAGGCTTGAGATCCAAGAAGAGCTAATGTTTCAGTTTGAGTTCAAAGACTGGAAAAAGACCAATGTCTCAGCTCAAGCAGTCAGGCAGGAGGTGCTCCCTCTTACTAGTAGAAGGGTTGGTTTTTTGTTCTAGTCATGTCTTCAACTGATTGGATAAAGCCCATCCACAATAGGGAGGACAATCTGATACACTAAGTCTGCCAATTAAATATTAATCTCATCCAAAACTCTTCTCACAGACACACTCAGGATAATGTTTGACCAAATGTCTGGGTAACCCATAGCCCAGTCAAGTTGACACAGAAAATTAACTATCACACCTTCCTTCATTTTTTAAAAATTTGAACTATTTCCTTTTAGCCCTAAATCATTAACTGTAATTACAGCTGAGATATGAGATTCTAAGAGATGGGAGTGCTCCATTTTTTATTCTTTACTGTTCAAAAAAAGGGTTAAAAGTATTGGAACTTTGAGTAAACTGTGCATTTCTCTCTTTTACAAATTTTCTACATTAAAAAATAATGATCTAATTCCAACTACCAGTTTATAGAAAATACAGAGGACACAGGAACAAGTTTAATAAACCACATGATGAAATAAGCAAAATCTGTGACTGATAGAAACTACTCAGCATGAAGAACCTGGTTTCTTCAACAGATTAATTCTAAGTGACCCAGCCTCAGCAAGAGTGAGACCCCCATCTCTATTAAAAATAGCAAAAATTAGCAAGGTGTGGTGGTGAGTGCCTGTTGTCCCAGCCACTCAGGAAGCTCAGGCAAGAGGATCACTTGAGCCCAGGAGTTTGAGGTTGCTGTGAGCTAGGGTGACACCATGGCACTCTAGACCAGGTGATAGAGTGAGATTCTGTCTCAAAACAGAAAAAAAATTCTAAATGTTATAAAACACAGTGAAAGGAGAACTTATGATTTAAAAAGATTTAAATGACATAGTAACCATTTGTAATGTGTGAATATTATTTGGATCCCATTAAAAAAAACTTCCACAAACCAAAAAAGAAAAAAATTATAGCATTTATGAGACAATTAGAAATTTGAACATTGACAGAACATTTTATAATATTAAGGAATTTTTCAGGTGTAATAGTTATATGTGGCTATATTAAAAAAAACTAATCTTTTACACAAATATACTCAAGTATTCATTGATTAAACTATGTCATGTCTGAGATTTGTTTTAAAATAGTTTGGAAGGATGAGGGTGTGAATGGGGCAGGGTTGTCATGGGTTGTTGGTTTCGAGGGTTAGGTGATAGATATGGTGGGGGGCCTCATTATAGTGTTTGGTTTACTTATGTGTAAGTTCTTCATAAGTGAAAAGGTTTTAAAAAATTATGATATGGCCAGCAAAATTTGATTGCAGGTGATCATTTCTATCCTAGCAACTGTGAAAGACTTATTAATATTTTAAAAACTTAATGGTTCACTTAAAAGACAGTTGAACATTTCAAATGCTAAGAAATCTCTATCCTGATTTTCCCCCTCCTACACAACAGAATTGACATCCCAGCCACAGAACTTGTGTGAAAGTATGTACAACACACAGTAAGTTGTTAGCCTACTTTGAATCTCTGGCTGCAACTCTGCCCTGATTTGGCTATGTTCCTTCAGGTTTAGAGCTGAAGCACCAGTTGAGACATCTCCTGCTGCAGAAACAGGGGACAGACACCAGGGCCTATGCAAAAACTGGAGGGGTTGCCAAAAGTCTTGAAGCCTCTGCTCTCAAGCACATGGATCCACCATTATGTGCAAATGGAGAACCATCCGCATTTCTCAAGCCATCATCCAGATTGGGGGATTCCAGACACACTCAAATGCCCTGGGTGCTGTCCCCAGCTCCTTGGTCTTCTCTTATTATAATTTCTGCCTTGAGAATTCATTCTGCTTCACAGTTTCAAATTCATCTAAAAGCTAACAATTTCTGGGTTCAAATTGCCCTTCCTGGACTCTCCCCTGACTGCCAACTCTCATATCCAACTGTCTTCACAATGTTCTCACCCAAATGACAAAGAGAAATCTCAAAGTTACCAAATGTGAAATAGGCCTTGGGATCATTCCCCCTCTGAGACCCACTGCCACCTTGGCATGCCCATTCCAAGGCATCATCCTTGGTTCTTTTCTTCACTCTTCACCTCCAATTGCTCACTAAGTCCTATTGACTCTTCCTTCAAACTCTACCCCTAATCTGACTACTCTGACTACCTACCACTCTTACCACTTAGTCTGAACCATTGGTGTCCCTCATCTGGGCTATGGCAGTAACCTTCTAACTGGTCTTGCTGCTTCCTCCTTTGTCCCTTGTATCAGTGAAGATTAGATCACAAGGTACACCCCTGCTCAACTCTCTCTGATGGATTCTTTTTCTTTTGAGACAGAGTCTCACTTTATTATTGCCCAGGCTAGAGTGAGTGCTGTGACATCAGCCTAGCTCACAGCAGCCTCAAACTCCTGGGCTCAAGCAATCCTACTGCCTCAGCCTCCTGAGTAGCTGGGACTACAGGCATGTGCCACCATGCCCGGCTAATTTTTTCTATATGTATTAGTTGGTCAATTAATTTCTTTCTATTTATAGTAGAGACGGGGTCTCGCTGTTGCTCAGGCTGCTTTTATACTCCTGACCTTGAGTGATCCGCCTGCCTTGGCCTCCCAGAGTGCTAGGATTACAGGCATGAGCCACCGCACCCAGCCTCTGATGGCTTCTTTTCCCACTTACAATAAAATCCAAATTAATTACATGGCCAAGAGACCCCTATGTGACCTGACCCTGCCCACCCACCCTTACCTCCGGCTACTGGCCATCACCATGGTCTTTGAATTTTGCTTGGGCCTCAGGATCTTTATGTTTGCTCTTCCTATTCTAGTTTGTTTTTCCTTCATACTTCTTATGGCTTGTTCCCACCCGTGATTAGGTGGACCTTTAGATTCAGGTGTCTACTTAGGTCCTCAGGGATGTCTTCCCTCGTTCTATGTCAAAAAGCCCTACTTATCCCAGCCATTTGCCTTTTTTTTTTTTGTAGCACTTATCACCAGTTAAAATGATATATTTATGTGTCTATGTCTTTATTTTCTGTTTCCTTGTTCTCCTCCTCCACCTCTCAGGACTGTAGGCTTCACGAGGGCACACACTTTGTCTCTTTCACCTTTGTGTCTTTGGTGCTTAGCACCACAGTTAAATAAGTCTTTATTGGATGGATGAATGAATGACTCTTCCAAGACTAGTCTGATACAGACATATCTTCTTTATTTTATTTTGGTTTTTTTGAGACAGGGTCTCACTTTGTTGCCCAGGCTAGAGTGAGTGCCCTTGGCGTCAGCCTAGCTCACAGCAACCTCAATCTCCTGGGCTCAAGCAATCCTCCTGCCTCAGACTCCCGAGTAGCTGGGACTACAGGCATGCACCACCATGCCCGGCTAATTTTTTTTGTATATATATATTAGTTGGCCAATGAATTTCTATTTATAGTAGAGACGGGGTCTTGCTCTTGCTCAGGCTGGTTTTGAACTCCTGACCTCGAGCAATCTGCTCGCCTTGGCCTCCCAGAGTGGTAGGATTACAGGTGTGAGCCACCGCGCCCGGCCAGACATATCTTTTTTAGATAATGGAAAAGGGAACCATTTACCAGCCACTTATCGTAGGTAGAGTCCCAGAGTGTAGGCTTAGATGATGGAGCTCATGTGAATTTCCACTTGGGCCACCAGGAATTTTTCTCTCAAAAGGTCCTGGTGCACTGAGACTGTCAGCTGGCCCCCAGGGACATCCAATTAGAGAACAATGACTTTACTTTAACCTTCCCCGTGGTGTTCTAGAAAAAAGGCAACTCACCCCAGGAAGGGCATTCATGCTTGGCTCCTGAGCACCTTCTTAGTTGGTAGGAGAGATGGTTTGGATGTAGCCCTGAGGAGAGTCTCCAATGATCTTTAGGCCTGGTTATTACGTATCTGTCTCCTGGAGAGAAAGGTCTTGTACTAAAATGAAAAAAAATCAGTCAAGCTTAAGAACTGCAGATAACAGCACGGGGTGGCTGTGTTTTACAGCCTCATATTGTTTAACCTGAGTTGGAAAAACGTGTTTCACTTTAGCAGCAACCGAGGGGACTTTGACCTCAGAGATTTGGGAGGTGTTACAGGGATGACAGACAGGGCACGGGCCACAGCAGGGAGGGTGTACACCTGTACAGCAAGAGTCGCGGTGCATGTTCAGTGAGGAGTGATGTGGGAGTGACACGGGAGCTACACGGTTA